GCAGCTCACATACTTGGCTATAAATGGTGATGGTAATTCTTTGTTGTATAAGGAGAATACAAAGAGAATAAAATGCATAGAGAGGAAATAACATATGTAAACTTGTTGGTGTAGCATGCGAACTCTGTGCATAGCACACGTTGTGTAATCCTTTGTTGATGTGATAAATAAAGGTTGAGAGGTATTCTTGTATTCTCAGTGTGCTTGGTTAAGAGCAATTCTACTTGTGTATTCCGCTTGTCTTTAACATGGGAAAGTGGGGGAAACCTCTTGGGTGAGGGAAACACTTAGTTAATAGGCAAACACGAGTGGATAGACGAGGGAAGGCTGAGTCTAGCGAGGAGGGACTAGGCTGCCGCACGGATTTATTCGCGTAGCGAAAAATTACCCCGTGACACTATCCCTCCACCATTGTTAATTCCTGATATATGTATGCATCCCTTCATGTGTTGAAATCTGAAGGCCTTTAAGATGGATCACTATTTCTTCTCAGAAAAAAAAAAGGGGGATCATTTCTTATCCATAATTGAAGAAAACGTGTGCTGCGCTTTTTTTTTTTTTTTTTTGCGAAGGCAAAATGCATTTATCAGATCGAACATATGCAATTATCATGACAGAGAGGTTGCCGAGGAGCAATTGGGCTCGCTAATGACAGCATGGATTATCCTTGAAGAAAGCAACACGCAGCCCTGCCACCACCAACCCATACACCAGATAGCGACTGAACATTGCGTTTTTCCCTGTTTTTCATACTTAAATGTCATGAAAAAAGTTCAGTTCTGTTTTCAGTATCTTTAAGAGAGAGAATATTGAACAGAGTAATTCTAGTTGACAGGAAAGTGTTGAAGAGTTAGGGAATTCATAGACAATATTTCAAATCTTCAAAGAAAAATACATTTAGTTAAGAGAATTGAGTAATTAATGTGGTAGTCTATGAGCAAATACAAGTGTCATAGATGCTCGCATCAAGTGTTCGTTTACATCTTTCAGATGAAACAAACGATTGGAATGGAGATGGACAAACATTAAATATGCTACTTCACCAAAGTGGACCTCATTGGAAGAAACTACCAGAAACAAAGTTCTCTTTTATGGGGAATGGTTTATACAGTTACAGCATCGGAATTTTTCAAGTTCGAGCTTTCAACGTTCGAGTAGAATGATGACAATTAAAGTCAAGATGAACCTTGAATCTAACCATAAATCCCAGTTGTCCCTTTTCCAGCCCAATACAAGCGGATCTTTAAAGAATGATGTGTTACTGTTGCAATGAATGTCTTTGCAAGGGTTATGCCAGCATCACCAGCCTCGTCTTCAATGTTATATTCTTTCAGAACCACCTTTCCCAATATGCACAGATTCATCGCTAGTAATGATTAGCAAGCAAGTGTGGACATACAATTCCGGCGTCATTTCTCAAGAATCACGAGAAAACGTTTGGTTACCTGGATATAAACATCGAATAGACGGTTCCCAATACTATACAACGAATTGTCATCTGTGAAAATAATCTCAGAAAATTGAAGTTTTACAGTGTAATTCTCATTCACGAGGCAAAGTCCATAGTACGTGAGAGCGAGGGGAGAAAAACACGAGCTGTTGTGTACATATAGAGACGTGCATTGTCAGTTGATACATTGGATATAGCAGACATGTTGGCTTCAGTATAAGCATCCGCCTCTGTCATCGTCCAGGAAGCGCCTCATGCTTAGTTGTATATCATCTTGGTAGCAATAATTAGAGGTGAGTAAAAAAAATAAAAAATTAATTAAATTAAAAAAATTAGAAAAAAATAACTAAAAAAATCAAACCATATAAAAAACTAATTAAATTAATTAGAATTTTGAAAAAACCTACCAGTTCGGTTTGGTTTTAGTTTTATAAGTCTGAAACCGAAAAAACTAAACTGAACCGAAACCAAACCAAAAAAACCAAGCCGGACTAGAAAAAACCGAGCCAAAACCGATCTAAATTGAAAAAAACAAGCCAAATTGATTTGAACTAGTTTTTATTTTAAAAAACTGAATCGAAACCAGTCGGTTTAAACTGGTTTTGTTTTTTATTTTTAAATTTAATTTGGTTATTTTTCTTATAAAAACCAAACCGAACAAAAAAATAATTATCACTGCAAATAATATTACGGTAAATGTTAAAAATACGAAGAAGGATTAAGATATAGAAATATTTACTCGTATAGTAATTAACATCGAGGAACAAAAATGCAATTTAGCCAACTAAAAGAAACCAATGTTGCATTTATAGATGTTAGGCCGGAAAGATAAACTCACGTTGATTTCTTGAAGCAGAGCATGGAAAGTTTTGTTTCAGACATGAATATAAGGGAGAAAAGGAAGCCTCAGGATGCTAAATTCTTCATTAATAGCTAGGAAATAGGAGGAGAAATGGAAAAATATTTGAGCAATGATTCAAGATTCTTACGATTTAATTAGTGATGGTTCCTATCATGCTTTTCTTCTTTATATATATATATATATATATATATATATATATATTGTTCCTACTCTTTATTTTTTATATTTTAATTTATGTTATTATTATTTTTTTATTTTTTTCTTGGTTTTTTATGAATTTTTTGTTTGTTTTTAATTTATTCTTTGAATTATACTTGTCATATATATTTTTTATTTCTAATTTTATTTTTTTATTTCTAATTTATTTCTTGATTTTTTTGTTAAATTTTTATGGTTTTTAATTTTATTATTCGATCTAAGTTTATGTTTATGGTGTATTTTTTTTCAATTTAATGCTTATTGTTTTTCTTTTTTTTTAAGTTTTTTTTTCAATTTAACTCTCTAATTTAATATATTTGATTTCTCTTTTATTTATTTATTTTTATTTTTATTTCACCCTTATTTTTTTAATTTTTTTAATTTAAAATTTTTTTGTGCAACTAATTTTGTCCCCTTGTTTCATTCTTTAATGATTGAGTTGATGGGAATTTAACTTTATTTTTTTTATTATTATTATTTAAGGTGTTTATAGTCTAATAATTCAGATTATATATTTAAAAAATTAATACAAATCAATATTTTTTTTTTTTTTTTAATTTGTAATTTCATTGTTCAATATAATTTTTTTTTAATATTGATTTTATAATTTTTTTTTTACAATTATTATCCTAACTCTCATAGCAGTGAATATTTTAGCTTAAAATCTTTTTTCGCTCGACATGGTATTAATTATTTTACCACTGCTACACCCACCCCTCAATAAAATGTCGTCTCAAAACGACATCGTCGTCGCCTCACATTGCTTCTTGATTGATGCCGATTCCGCGTATCTTATATAAATCATTACTCCAAAATAAAACCCTCTAAAAGGCTCTTTGTGGCCTGAAGCCCATTCCGCGTGTCTTGATCCAAAAAGACGTCGTATCTATATTTTAAGGCCCAAAAGCCATTGACAGAAACCCATTCCTCTCCAGGTCACCATCCTCCCCTGATACTCTCTAGAGTCTAGACCCCACACTCATCTCCTGTCCCCGTGCCACCCGTGATGCTCTCTTCGCCATCAGTGCCACCGGAAGATGTTATCACCATTGTCACTGCAACTCCAGGTACTCCTTGTCTCTCTCCAACCGTTGATTTATCTTTTCCATTGAATTTGGATTCCCATGCTGTACCCTCGGGGCCTCCACTTCCCCTGTTTTATTGCCCAATCAGAACTCTACTGCCGCCCCACCTTCAGCCCTAGGTAATAGCTTAGCTCATTGTTTGGAACCGCCTCCCCGCCATCCCACCTTCAGAACCCACAACATGACCACTCGTTCCATGAACCAAATCTACAAGGTATTCTGTCACCAAACATCCCGAAACCATTGACAGGTTTAAGGCCAGACTTGTGGCTAAAGGCTACCACCAACGGCTGAGAGTTGATTACAAGGAGACCTTCAGCCCTGTCATTAAGCCAACCACCATTAGAATTGTTTTGTCAATTGCTGTGATGAATGGGGGGGGGGGGGGGGGTTGTGTCAAATGGACGTGAACAATGCTACATGGGAAACTTAGCGAGACAATTTACATCTTCTAACCACCGGGATTTAAAGATTTATCTAAACCTGATCATGCCTGTAAACTCAACAAAGCTATTTATGCTCTCAAACAGGCCCCTCGGGCATGATATTAGGCTCTGAAAAATGCTCAACTTCAATTTGGTTTTGCTAATTCAAAAGCAGACTCATCTCTGTTTGTTTATACTTATGATAGCACTATATGCTACTTTCTAGTATATGTGGAAGACCTTGTTATGACTGGCAACAAGTCCAGATTTGTGTGTTCCATTTTTGACCAACTTGGCTGGAAACTTTTCATTGAAGGATACGGGTGCACTACGTTATTTCTTAGGAGTGGAAGTCCTAACCCTTCGGGATGGCATCTTCCTTTCCCAGCATAAGTGCATCCATGATTTATTGCATAATAGAAAGATGAACGGTGCTCAAGAAGTTCGTACTCCTCTTTCCACAAGCCTACCTCTCAAGCTCCATGATGGTACTGCTTCCTTTGATAGCACTGAATACAGAAAGGGTTCTGGGAAGTCTTCAATACCTCTCCCTCACTAGACCAGGCATCTCTTTCGCTGTGAATAAGCTGTCCCAATTCATGCAAAAACCAACTCAAACCCACTCGACAACAACTAAGACGCTGCTGCACTACTTAAAGCAAATCATCTTCCATGGACTCAAGCTAACTTGCTGGCCTTTTCTGATGCTGACTGTGTAGACAACCTTGATGATCGAACCGCAACTTCAGTATACATCACCTTTGTAGGCTCCAATCCCATCTCATGGAGCTCAAAGAGACGACATGCCACTACACGATCATCAACTGAAGCTGAGTACAGGGCCCCTGCTACTGCAGCCTCTGAAACGATGCGGATACATTCCTTTCTCCAGTAACTACACTTCAAGCTCCGCTCCCCTTCGCTATCTGGTTCAAATGGGCACTCTTCAAGTCAGGCATGTGCACACTCCAGACCAGCTGGCTGATTTAATGACGAAGCCTCTTTCACGGCAACGAACAGAACTCCCCAGAGGCAAAATTGCCCTTGCTGATGACAGCTCAATTTTGAGGGGGTCTATCAAAGCAAATTACCCTTCAGCAAACTCACCAGAATCCTAGCCTACAATCATGCAGATTCTTACTAAAACTAGTACCACTGATTACCATAATGTGCGTAGCAGAATTCTAGCCAACAAATTTGTATTCTTCTATTTTTAGCATACTGTAATTCCTTCATTTGTGTATACAATCAGTATATATTAGACATCAAATCATAGTAATAAAATTGAGGAGAATTTCCATTGAAACACACTCTCTGCATCTTCAATACACGCTCCCTCGAGAACATTCAACTGGACTTGAGCTTTCCCAAGTGAAGTTATAAGAAAGATATATAAAGACAACCGATGACAAAACTTCAAAATATCTCTCATCTATGAAGTTATTGAATTAGGATTTGTTTTTTTCTTTTTTCTTTTTTCTTGAAACTTTTGAAACATGAAATCTTTGGGTTGGAGCAGAACTTCAAGCTGAAAAAGAAATGTTGTGAAAATAGACGTACACGTTCTTGTTTCTTTCCAGAAGCCATTGAGGAACAGATCCAGTGAGCTTGTTTCCTGTCAAGCACGTTGACAATTTAAAAATGAAAAATATCATACTACTCAGAAGCTTACTTCCAAGAAATATATGAAAGAAATAAAAATGTTTACCACATCAACTTACAGGAAATCTATTTTTGCCGGTACAAATGACGTCAGACTTTATCCGGTGAGGTTATTGAAGCTGAGATCTCTACATTGTACAAAATGAAAGTCCTTAAGAGGAGAAAAGAGAAATAATTAAATAAGAAAAAAGGGAACTATGTGGTGCAGATTTAGGATTCTCAAAAGAGAAGCACAGCAGCTCATGTTTTATCTTTTTGGGCTGAGATCAACTGAAGATATCAGTTTTCTAGTTCTTCACTAGGCATTTTGTCACGACCCGAATTCCGGATTCATGACCGGCACATAGGTAAGGTTCCCCTTCAAGGTTCTATACCTATACGAACTCAAACTTACACCCAAACTTATCCTAACTCAATCAGAGTTCAACGCAGCATTAATAACAAAATCAACTTCATAATATAATTGAATTGTCTTAATACAAGAGTTAATATAATTTCATAGTTTTGGAGCACTAATTAAATATAAAGGAAAATGCACGGATTACAACCAAAAGAGCAGGTTCTGAAGGTCCAACAAAAATGACCTGCTATCAAGCTATAAGCCTGAAAATGATAAATAATGAAAGTGTGAGTTCAACAACTCAGTGAGTAGATAACGTTCAATATACACACACGAGATAATACAATAATGAGAAATATATATACAAGTATGAATTTAGGTTCTTATAAAAAGGTTTCTCAAATACGCCATAACAAGAATGTCATATGGTAAAATTGTCAAAAAATCAAAATGCAATGAGCATAAATCTAATCCATAATAAAACAAATAATAAAATTGGTAATACTTCACTAACTAACCCTCAATTATTCATCAAACACATCTGCAAAAGCTAATATTACAGCTAGGGACTAATCTGTAATTTATTATATTTTTAAGGGTCAAATTGTAACTTAATCCATTTGGAGGACCAAACTAAACTTATCATAAATCCATGAATATACTGAAATTCTGACCATAACCAATCCTCATTTCTGTCCAGATCATCTCATTATACTCCAGGGACCATTCTGGAATTTTATCAAATTTTTAGGGTTAAATGGTAATTTTTGTCAAATTGAAGGACCAAATTGAAAGTGTTAAAATTTCATAACTATACAGGAATTCTGCCCATAATTTATCTTTTATTCTGTTCAGAATCTCGGAATATGCCCCAGGGACCAATCTGTAAATTTTCTAAATTTTGGGGACTAAACTGTAATTTCCACAAATTGAAGGACCAAAATGAATTTTCGTCATCTTCAACCTCCAACCTAGAATTTCAACAGAAACCCACTGTTGTTTCCTTATTTCTAACATAATTTCACCATCCAAACAAAATCATAACTCAAAATCATCATCTTTCAATTCAACCTCTCAAAACCCCCCAAATAATCCATTACCCATAACAATCAATCCATAAAATTCAATTAATTCATCAATCAAACCCAAAACACAAATTTTCAAAACCCTAACATTTATCAAAACCAAAATTAAAACTTAATCAACACATATTTATATATAATTTTACCTTTAAACTTATTTCCTTCAACTCCTTTCTATTTTTCTTCTAATTTCCCTCTTTTCTCTTCTTCTTCTTTCTCCCTTCTCTCTCCTGCCGATTCTCTCTCAAATTTCAGCTCACTTATTTTGTTTTTTTTTTACTTTCTATTTATATTTATCAAGTTTTGTTGAATTACTACACTACCCCTCATTCATTTATACCTACACTTTAAGCCACCAAGAGCTTTATTGTATTTTCCTACTTATTTATTCAAAACATTACACATTTGTTCTATAGTAAAAAGAGTGTTTCCATAGCTCTTAATTGTACTTCCAAATGAAAGCTTAAAGACAGTCAAATCATTTTCTAAGAAAAAATTGAGCTAGTGATTCAAACAGAAAATCTTTTTGTCAAGTATTTATATCCATGCCATCAACAAATTAAAGGACAAGACCATTAGCAGAAAAGGACATAAGACTAGAAGAACTCCAACTCACAATGTTTTTATGGGTTCCATATTACTAAGAGGTGGAAAGGAAGACCCTCTTCCTGTTAAGTCACTGATCCTCCTACAAGTATAATAAAACATAAAATCATGTTGTCATAAACGCAATATATAGACATAAAAACAACATTCAGATATCCTGATTGCTTACAAATCTTAGTGTGGTCAAGGAAGCAATGCTAGGAGGTAAATGTCACAACCCGATTCTCGGATGCATAATTGACATATAGACAATGTTTCCCTCTAGAGTTTCATACCTATACAAACTCAAACTCACATACAAACTTATTATTTACATAACTTAATTAGAGTTCAACAAAACAGTAATAATAAAACTAACTTCATAATATGATTTGATTATCTTAATACAAGAGTTAATACAAATTCAAAATTGTGAAGCACTAACTAGACATAAAAGAAAAGTATTAATTATAACCAAAAGAGCAGGTTCTAAAGGTCCAATAAAAGTAACCAACTAATAAGATATAAGCCTGAAAAAAAAATAAGAAGGTGAGTTCAACTATTTAGTGGATAGATAACGTTCAATATACATATACGAGGTAATACAACAATGAGGAATTTATATACAAATATGACTTTAGGTTCTTATAGCAAAGTTTCTCAAATAAGTCATAACAAGAATATTATAAGAGAAAACTCGTCAGAAAATCAAAATGTAATGAGCATGAGGCCCCATAGTGTGGGATGATCAGTCCACATAGGTTGATAACTACCTTGACCAACTACTGTTTCAGATATAATGTGCACAAATTTCAACATTGCCTTGTCAGCATAAGTATTCTTGCTAACTTCCTATAGGTTTATATCTTAATCAAACAAACAAATTCATATCTTAAAACTCAACTCATGACAACAATAAAATAAGAAGTTATTGATTTAGAAGTTAATTCAAAGTATATATTAGCTTATATCAAAAATTCATATTCAACAATTGATCATATTTTATCATAACAAAGAGTAATAATCAATATATATATTATCAAGAAGCATGGTCCAATTCATATTAACAACTCAAATATTTATATCATTTCCCATGCATATGAAAAATTATTCACTCACCTAACTCAAAAGTAGACAAAATTTGAAAGAAAATACCGGAGAAAATCTTAATAATACCCCACATGTAGAATATCAGGATTATTTGAATACATAACAAGACGTACTAAAAAATGACTCGAAAAGAACTTACAACCTATTTAATACACTTAAATAAGGGTCTAATTCATAACTTTATATGTTTATGAACCAAACTAGTCATTTTTCACAAAAACTCAAAAATTAAATGGTTTTCCCTAAATTTAATTCAAAAGAAAACAAATCATAAAACTTGAAGTAAATTCACCAAATAACCCTAAATTATTCAACAAATCAATCTAAAAAGACTAATATTATAGCTAGGGACCAATTTAAAATTTTATCATATTTTAGTGCACAAATTGTAATTTTATCAAATTAGAGGACCAAACTAAAAATGTCATAAATTCATGACTATACTGAAATTTTGCCCATAATTCATCCTCAATTCTGTCCAGAATCTAGAATTATGCTCCAGGGACAAATATGAAATTTTATCAGATTTGTATGGGTCAAATTGTAATTTTATCAAATTAGAGAACTAAACTGAAATGTCATAAATTCATAACTATTATAGAATTTTTTTCATAATTCATCCTCAATTTTATCAAGAATCTAGAATTATGCTCCAAGGACAAATATAGAATTTTATCAAATTTGCAAGGGTCAAATTGGACTAAACTGAAATGTCATAAATTCATAACTATACTGGAATTTCTCCATAACTCATCCTCAATTCTGTCCAGAATCTCAAATTATGTTCCAGGAATCAATCTGTAATTTTTCTAATGTTCAGGGACTAAACTATAATTTTCATAAATTGAGGGACCAAACTGAAATTTCATCATCTTTAACCTCAAACCCATATTTTTCTACATATCACCTACTGATTTACTAAAATCGCTAACTTAAATTCATTATGTAAACAAATCATAAATTAAAATCATCATCCTTATTTAAAATCTTCGAAAGTGAACTAAATAACTCATTATTTATAACAATTAACCTATAATATTCAAATCAATTCATCAATCAAACCTAGAATAAAATTTTCAAAACCCTAATTTTCAACTAAATAGAAAATAAAAGCTAAATAACATAATTATACATAACCAAAGTGTAAATCTTAAATACATCTGCTAAATAACCCAGTTTGAGCATGATCCAACAGTCGGTTGAAATAACCTATCTCATTTATTTTAAATACATCTGCTAAATTATCCACGTAGAACATATCCTGGTTATGATAACCTATACTTGATTGCTCATAATCAACTGTACTCGCAAGCACGACTATGTCAAGATGTCTTGGCCATTTTCAAGCAACGAAAGACCAGTTGGCATCTTCTTCAGCTTCTGACAATTTATTACTTTCATTTCTTTTAGGGAATCGCAAATCAGTTTTGCACTGCAAATGCGTTTCAGTTCTGGTAAGTCAAACAAGCTCAGAATTCTTAACTTTGGGAGTTTGAATTCGCTGCTACTGCTTTCTTCACCCGTAACCCCTTCTTCATCTGATCTTGTTCCACCTATTATCTCCTCCATTTTATCACAATTATAAATTGCAATATTTTCTAAGTTTGCGAGGTGTGGTAGCAAGACAAGAGGGAACAACTTCTTCATACTTGTACATCCATAACAATAGAACTCTTTAAGACCAGAAAATATACCATTATAAGATGGCAATGGTAGTGGAGCAGAGCAGAACCATGAAGATGAAACCAAGCTCTCCATGCTATTGCAATTCCATATCCTGATGACCTCCACTTCAGTTGCATACTTTATTAGAGAGGAAACATCACATAAACTTCTTGCATCGTCATAATTATCAATGATCAATTTTTGAATGTCCTTTGGGAACATGACCTGAAAACCTTCGTCTCTGTTGATACTCAAGTTACCCAAAACAATTGTTTTACTTCTGCCACAATGATGATAGTTATCCAGTAGTCCTACACGAATTTGGTATGTGCTTAGTGATTGGGTCTCATCTCGAGATCTAAGATACTCCAAGTAGTCAGAATGACCTTCAAAATGGCATTTCAAACTTTCCAACTTCCTCAAGCATCCTACTTCCTTTCCCTTAACTGTTATCGGAGCATATCTTCCATCAATTAGCTCTTCCTCTAGTACAAAGACTTGCAGGTGAGAGAGTTTACGTAGCAACTCACTAGGAAACTCCTTTTCACCACATCCATTCATTCTAAGATACCTCAGGTTGCATATACATTCCATGCCTTGAGGCATCTTTTCAAGTGCCCAAGTACCAGAGAGATCTAACCTCTTCAGTTCCCAGAGCTTTTTCAATGATGGTACATGCCTTAACTTCCTACATTTTATGAGCAATAATGCAGTGAGACTCACCAATTCAGAGACAGAATCAGGCAGTTTTGTGATATTTGTATAAGACAGATCAAGAACATTGAGCCCATGCAATTTCTCAAAAAATGAATCTGCAATAAATTGCAACTTTGAATTTTTGCGTAAGAGTAGAATTGAAAGACTGGGACACCTTGGTGAATGACAAGAAAGAATTTCTTTAATTTGGTTATGCATCAAGGAAACTCTTGTCAAATTCTCTGTCCACCCCTTTGCATCCGGCAATTCTTTTAATTGTGAATCTGCTTTAAACATGCCTTGAGAGTTCTCTTGTTGTATTTGGATCGCCATGTCCCTAATCAAGCCATTCATCTTGACACATCTACAATCATCGAACATTTTCTTAGCACTTTCCAATAGGCAGACATCTTCAAGTTTATTAAGCATCGAGTGGCCTTTGTTAAATTCTGCCTCCCTGCTATTCAACTCTTCTATCACTCCATTGTCAATCAAATAAGCTATCAAATCTTCTCTAGGGATCTCAAAGTCTTTCGGGAATAATGCACAGTACAAGAAACATTGTTGCATTGCTGAATCACTCAGATGGTTGTAACTAAATCTCAATCTGTGGAATACGTCAGGTTCCATATCATCTTTTCTAACTTTTGATTCTTCCAATTCCTCCAATGCATTCTTCCACTCACATATGTCAACCACTTCCCTCATGGTTCTCGCCATTGTTATAATTCCTAGAGGCAAACCAGCACATTCTCTTGCAATATCTACTGCTATTCGTTCCACTCCAGGAGAAAGTGCTCTGTCATGTCCAAGTTTCTCCATGAACAAAGTCCAAGCTTCTGTCTTTGAAAGTGGCTTCACCTTGATTTTATGTTTGATATCCATTTGTTGACAAACCCTTTTTGATCGTGTTGTTATAATCAACTTGCAACCTTTCACTGGGACAGGAATTCCCACTTTGTGTAGCTCAAAAGTGTTCCACAAATCATCTAAAATGAGAATCCATTTTTGTTTCTTCCTTAGCTCTTTCGATAATTTGACAGCTCTATGCAGTTCTTCATCGTCACTTGAAAGATTGAAGCTAAGACATTTAGCAATAAGAGTTTGCAATCTTTTAATACTGAAATCTTGAGACACAGTCATCCAGTAAACACAATGAGAAATGTCTTGTCTTTCTAGAAACTCATTATGGATACGTTGCAGCATTGTCGTTTTACCGACTCCTCCCATTCCATAAATACCAATGGTTGAGACTTCATCATCCAGTAACCAAGACCATATCACATTCATATTCTCTTCAAATGCTTGACCCACTAGCTTTGTAGAGCTAGTAGGTAATGGATCTCCTGTAGTCTCGTTTGTGTTGCCTGTAAGCCCTCCAGAAGAGCTAGCTCCTCCACCAGGCTGCACTACTCCTCCAGTCCCATTCTCTATATCATCCTCCATTAACATTTCATTGATCTCAACCCAACTTAATTCAAGTGCTTGACCCATTGTATCTGGTGATTGTGTCCTTCCTGCATCTTCTGCCAAATTTTCGACTTCATTGTTTTGTTCTTGTGGAGTGGTTAAAATGGCATTATCATTAACATTGCTTGAACTTGCTATGCTTTTATGTCTTTTTTTGCCACCATGCATAGCTAGAAAAGCTGCTTCTTGAACTTGTTTAGGCACTTGTCCACATATTGCAACACCATGCCCTTTCTCTCCTGATAAATGCCATTTGATCCTTGAAATGGAAGTATCGTTAGGAAATTGACGCCCGCAATACATACACTTCATCTTCTCAACATGATGCCAAAATGGATCATTTGACTGAACCATTTTGCCCTATATATAAAAACAAAGTCAAAATATTGAATAAAAATTAATGGAAGTTACGTCAATTGGAAAAAGGAAAGGTTGAAACTAGAATAAATAAAAAGAAAAAACAATGAATTTGGTATGAACTCCACAAGGCATGGATTATAAAAACAAAGATAAATTTATTTATATTTGGAAACCATTGATGATCCTAACTCCAAAGTTTCTCAATAAAAGTTCTACAACACCTTATTAAAACACCAAACTTACACAGTTCAAGTCTATAGAAAAAGGATTCAAACAAAAGTTGCATGCCAAAAACGATAACAGCAACAAAATGAAGAAGATGAAGTATAAATACTTTACCAGGATTCAAAAGAATCTGAAACTAATTGCTGAGTGAGTTAACGTGTGGACGCACCTCAATGTTGAAATTCTGGGAAAGCTGATCTGAAAATGTAAGCACAAGAATATGAGAAAGAGTAGTCAAACTAGTCATCTATCAACCTGACAAGAGGCACTCAACAGACAGAAACCAAGAGAGCAGCTGTTTTTAAGATAAGTAGTTGAAGTTGATAGCTAAATGAACAATTATTAAGAACAAAGCTATAATATGAGTTGAGTTCAATTATTGATTAAGCAACTAAGTTGTACCTGATCAATCAAGAGTCCTACTCACAAACTCTACAACCAGATGGGCAATTCTATTTGGAAGAGCCAAAACAACTAGATGTAGAAACAAAATTAGTGGTAGAAAAACAAGGAAAGAAAGTAGGATTTACCTTGCAAGCAAGCAAGAAAGATGGTTGAACTCCAGATGAGATGATTCGATTCATCAGAAACAGGAAGCACAGATCATCAGAAAGGTTTAAGAAATTTGGTAAGTGAAATTAGGAAGTCATTGGTATACTGAGAGAGATCAAGCAGAAGACAAAGTCAATGTTGCAGTAGCTAGCTACAGTGATAGTAATATGGTCAGATCAACGATAATTAATTATTGTATTGTTTAATAAGAAGGAAGGAACAGCTTTCCTACCAAAGATTATATTATAAGATATAGCAAGTTGCTCTTAACCTTTAATTATTGACAAAGTCAGTGTTGCAGTAGCTAGCTGCAGTGCTGCATTTTGATTTCACTTTTGAATTTCTCAAGTCATTCACATCGAATGCAATTCTAATCTATTAAAGGGGTACATATAGTCATTGCTTTCATTTTCGAATCTGTCTTTATAATGTTAAACAAGAAAATGGCAAATATGCAAGTGCTGCATTTTGCTTTTAAAGACCGTCAGTAGCATTTGAAAATTAAGAGGCCATGATCAGGAGATGACAAAAGGAAGAGAGAGCATCACTGACTACACAATTACAAGAAGCAGCAACCATATTAGTCAAATAGAAACATTTTGATCTGATTCGTCTTAATATCAGATTTAACTACAATCTTTCATAATTAAAAAAACAAAACAAGTTATACAAGGAAATGACAAATATAAAATCAGATCTGATACTTGATCTCAATACTGTTATAAGAGGGCAGGACTAATGCTCAATTGCTACTGATTCCTAGTTAGTAAAACCTGCACTGGATGGTCTTGTGATATTTGTTCCTGAAAGATCCAGGAAGACATTGCAAAGGTTCCTTTTACGGGACATCAGTTTTATATTCATAGTCCATGCAATTGCCATTGTACGTTCATTCTAGGAGTTCCTTTAGGCGATCAACAATTTCTCTTAGCTTTTTCCACTATATTCCCTTATTTACAATTCTATAGACATGGAGGAGATCATGATGGCGATTGGATATTCTTTGACTATGCTATTGAGTGGAACTTGTGGACCAGGATTGAACACGCAGCTGTTTTCAAGGATGAAGTAAATGTTGTAACTGGAGATGCAAGAATTGGAATATTGAATCTGCTAGATTCTCAACCTTGTGTAAGAATGCTAGAAGTACATGGAGGCGATCAAGCCCCTGTTCCTGGATTCATTGAATTTAGTTGCTTTAGATGAACAAGTTTCCGTGGTTCATTTGCAAAACTCCACGTTAAGGGTTATGTGCTCTACCTCTTGAGGATGGAATGGGTGAAGGTGAACGGCTTAGGAAATCCCTGAGTCTAATGAATTAATGAAGATAGAAATACATTGGGACTATTCACTCCTCTGCAAATTATTTCAAGATAGTATATATGAAACGACATTTACTAATTAGATTTTACTGAACTAACTCTCAGAAGACGGCTGGCCTCCTCAGGTTCTATCCACGAGTTTGTGGAATCAGAACATTATGATCCGTTTCAAGACATGCTATAGGTTTAAGAATTTTGGTGAGGGAAGTTAGGAAATCAATGGTATACTGAGAGATCTCTCTCTTAGTGGAAGCAACTTCATAAAAGTGCAATGTGCAAGCAACTGTGTCAAATTAAAATTTGGTGAGGGAAATTAGGAAATCAAGGGATACTGAGAGATCTCTCTCTTAGAGGAAGCAACTTTATCAAATAAGAAATTAGGAAATCAATGGTACACTGAGAGAGATCTCTCTTAGTGGAAGACTATTTATTAAAGTCGTTGCAATTAGCAAGCATCTTTATGTTTTTTCACTCTAAAGAAATAAAACAGAGGTGCAAATCCCTTGTGCTTTCTTTGTCCTGTATGCAATGATTACTCTCATGGAAACCACCATGCAAACTTCATGTCACTTTCTGCTTTATTTATTCACACTAACTATTCAACGAGTTCACATTACACAGCTTTAAATCCTTAAGTCTAATGAATTAATGAAGATACAAACTCCAAAGAAAATCACTTGGCCAGTAATAACATAATTCAGTACTCGGGTCAGCAGCTAGCATGGATAAAACTATCTCCTTCCTTGTTTGAGAGGGCTCTGACGTTGCTTCCCATCTGGCACACTGTAACTTGCAGATCCGTTTGGCTTTTGCACTTGCACCAAGATGAAATCTTTAATCTAACAGAATTGATACTGGAAGATGTAGTCTCTGTGTGATCTCTCGTTTTCCTTGTAGTTTTTTGTATTTCAACACATGAATTCTAGCTAGTTGGTTTAACAGACCCTGACTATGCTGTTACTCTCTGCTTTTGGCAAAGAAGTGACCTCATCAGCTTGTGATGAATTTCATATTAAATATCTGGATCTCGTGATGTCTTCAAGCAAAGTGTCCCAAGTAGTCAGGAGAACATGGATACAAATTCGATCAATCTGGTCTACTGAAATTAATTTTGCTAATAAGAAATTGCAGAGAGATGCTTTCCTTTAGTCATTAGCTTTGCTTGGAATGGAAGAAATGCCAGACTTCCCAATATTCGAAGTTCCAGTACTTCTGTTTTGGTTGCTCAAATACTCTGGTACGGATATAGTCAAATCGATTTTTTATAAACGAAAAAGAAAAGAGATTAACTTCAATTCTTTGATTTATTTAAGAAATAAAACCATTACAAACCAAATATTATTCCTGCATACATCAAATTGTTACACAACTGTTTTTAGATACACAAGAAGCCATAGCTAACTTGGAGATAGAAAGCGCGCCCTAGCAAGTGTGAATTCTTTTCCATCTATCCAAACACCAGTTTGTGACCATTGCACATCCTCCCAGTCAAGACTCTCCTCCAATACCTGTTCAAAATCACAGATGTTGCGGTCAGCCTAGAAGGATAAAAAAAACTGAAGAAAAACGTAACTACAAGCTGACAATATGAATTTCTTCTGCAGTCTCCTTATTTGACTTCGTGAAAATATGCCAAACTTTAACATCTAAATATGAAGAGATGTTTCAAGGAAAGAAATTGAAATGAAGTACCTCAACATGTTCCAGGGGCAATGGGATCCCAACTGACTGCATGACCTTCTGCAGTAGTGGTTTCTTACAGCGAGACCACCGGAATACATCAATAAGAACATTATCAGAGTCGTGTTTCTCACCGTTTGAGGAATGTGGGTGGTGATTATGGAACTTGTATGTCTCTTCATGCACCTGAGAAGCCCGTGTCACTTTCACCATTTTCTCTCCTGTAAAACAGAGCTCGTACCTTCACATAAGAAATAAAAAATTCAGAATCAGAACATCACTAAGAATTCACCACGTGAACTTCATGATTTCAATACCTCAGACTCGCACAAAAAAATGTTGGTTTACTAAATATTTTAAATACAAAAACCAATATAATTTTGTTTTCTATGCATGGGCAAGCGACAAAACAAATAATGCTTGAAATTACAGAAGTCATCATCAAGAACTTCTGTGGCAACTTTCAGCTAGTTATGAAAATCATACAATACAGAAGCTAAAGCAATTTTACTGTAAGACAAAAAAACAAGTTATAGGAAGAAATGAAAATCATACACAGAAGCTAAAACAATTTTACTATAAGACAAAAAAATGTGCCTCCAAAACCTACGTGCGGTATCAAGCTAGAAAGCACAAAAAGAAGAAGAGGAGGGAGTACCTGCATGAATGTGTTTCTAAATATAGAACTTCTCCCTTTTTCAAACGTGCAGAAGTATATTGAGGCTTTTTCAGACCCTTGTCAGCAACAATACTAATGCTGTATTTTATCCTGATACATTATGCAGGCATAAAAATTGAAATATTCAACATTTTACTAACATACAAGTCAAGAAATACGAGAGAGTTAATAGACAACAGCAGCGACAAGAAAATTGGAAAATTGCAAACACCTTGCAAGGCAATGAAAATTAGTGTCCACATAGATAACAAAAAGGATAAACACTTAATGATGTCATGGGAACATTCTAAACTCCAGTAAACTGTCATGTAAACATTCCAAACTTGAGATAAGCATGTCTATTGGTAGGAAACTGTGGAGAGTTGATCGAATGAAATATTAGAACAGCTATATAAAACCAAGATCTAGGGTTAGGGCACACATAGTAAACTAATGGCACAACAGTTGTAGAAATTAATAGGGGATATCTGTTATGTGTTGCTAAGAAAAAAACTTAAAAAGCCTTTAAAAACTTGGTAGCTATTAGTTTTCATAAACCAGAAAAATCCCATACAGAAAACAACAATAATTCCCAAGAAGGCTATCACCTTCAAAACAATAAGATGAAACAATTGATGCCACAGCAAAGATAACGGAATTTGTTTGGGTGGATATGAAATAAACTCGCTATGAGATCTAAGTTGAGAGTTGTTCTATATATAAATGTTCAAGCCCTTCTTTTCCTTTTCTGTTTCCTCTACACTTGACCAGAAAACAGAATTAAATCCAAACACAAATACCAATGACCTATTTTACACACAGCTATATGATAAAAGATCTAAATTTTCATGTGAAGAAAAACTTGTTACATCACCGAGTTGAAATAGGTCATCATCATCTCTTTATTGCAGCCTTAGGTGCATTAAAAGCAAGATCCACAGGTCAACGACTACTAGCACAATAGACAAACATATGCATTTGAACACACATGCAGTTGATATTTTCATTAATAACCACATGATACAGATATCACTATTAATAAAACACAGCAAGTTTCTTCCAAACCATTTTGGATGATGGCAAAATTAACTTCTACTTTCCATAAGACAAAAATCTCCAAGTCCATACAGATCTGAAAAATTGCAGCATATCATAGTTATCAAAAAGATCTAGAATCTACCACGGCTCATTGCAAAGGTTGTACTGTATTGTAACTTCACGTACAAATCTCTGTTGCCGCAATGCATTCTGAAAGAGAAAAGCTGTCATAATGTGAGTAGATCCAAATAACAGAAAAGTGCTTGGTCACAGAAATATTTTAGTTCTTTTTATTAGTAGCTCAAACATGCAATTATCATTAAAATAAGCAAAATCATAAAGAGTAAAACATTTGCTAAGAGCTCTACCTCAGATGACATTTCTACTAATTGATATAGGAACAGTATACAGAGAAGTAAAGAGTGAGAACATAAACTCAAAGGATTATGGAAGAAAATGGCAATGTCATACCGAAGCTGCAGCACGGGTAGTCATTGTCCGCTCAACAGCCACAGGAGCAAGAGTAGGTTCCACTGCTGATGTATGCGTAAGACAGGGCTCAAGATAGATGGTTCCACCTCCTTTCTGAAATAAACAATAAATTAGAAATAACCATGATTGAAGGCATTTCACGACTAGGATTTTGTAGGATAAAACAAGCAGCAAGCAATATTCTTGAAGATGGTAATAGCAATGCCACTATGACCCTCTCAGACATTTCTGAAGGTTCTCAATGAATTGCAGAAAAATGGTGACTAAAACTACAATTGTGAAATTTTTTCCACCACCTTCACGATGCAGCAACGCTCAACATGGTAGCTACAACCAATTCCAGCTCCCCAGGCACGTGAACGAACATTATTTCTCAGCATAGAAATGTAGCCTAATGCACATATCAAAGTGAGTGTTAAAATTCCACACAAGTAAAGCATGGATGATAAGGACACACATGCAGAAAGGCAACACTAGCAAGAAAAGTTTAACCACGTACGTCATTTAAGTTTCTCATATAGCTATATACTATTATAAGAAGTATTGTCATCTTGACAATTGACAAAAGAGCACAGTTCAAGTATGTTGGGTTTTTTAAGAGCTCTAGTTATCTTGTTTGGAATGCATCTTTGCATCCTTGTCATTCACTTATGCAAATATGAATATGGCTTATGCATGATTTTGATGTCAGCAAAATCCATTATACAAGGCCAATCTCAGACACAATTACAAAGTTGACTAGGCTTCAACCAAAACCCAAACTACTCAGACCATCTAAGTGATATCATTATTTTCACAAACTTCCAACATAAGAACTTCAAGAAACAACACAAATTTCATTCTGAAGTAAGATGTAAGACATACAAGTTCAAATGGATAGCTGTATCCAGATTTGTAACATTTACATGAATTATTTGACTGCATGATCATGATGTGAATGTGTTTAGAAATGGCATCATCATAAAGAAGGCGAGATAGAAGGGGCTTACTATCTTGTGGAGGCAACACTCTGACAGTAGCACATAACTCTTGGATGGCAGGTGGAGGAGGAGAAGCAGTGGGACGGAAGTAGCCTGTATGCATGAGAACTGCAACAAAATTGCAACATCAATATTGTTCAGTTCACATATAAACAAATTCTACAATTAGTACTGTTCATCATATCACAGCATACCAGCGACAAGATCAGAGTCATTTGTGTATATATCTGTCCCCCATAATTGTCCACCTCTTACCTGCACTTAATAAACTTAAAGACCTAAGGATGGGCATACTTATCTAATAGCCAATACCCAAACATGAAGGCATCAAACTATGGAGAGCAGAAATCCTGTAATATTAGAGATGTCAAATAATTGCTCTTATAGAGGCCTCTTCTCTTCTAATGAAAGTTGACCATCTGACAATTCACAGTAAAAATTTGTACACATCAGAACATAAAAGGCACCCACATAACATACAACAGATCTACCAACAAATTGACCTTAAAATTTAAGAATAGCTGTATCTTTCAAAAATTCGGTTTGCAGACACGACACACATAAACATATAGAAGGAACTGAACCCCACACAACCGATCTCATCATTCAATTCTAAACCTCCCAAAACTTTCGGATAAAGGCTAGTTAAATTCACGTAACCAATCTAATAAAAATCGGACTCTATGAAGAAACCCTTAATCAAACAATGTAAAAAGGTTTGAAACTTTTTAAGGAAGCTAATGGAAATTCCATAGGTTGTTAGAACCTTACTATTCACAATTCAAATACTTTGATTCATTGAATATTACAAGCAACTCAAACAATAAATTAAAATTAGTAAGCATAATTTAGAACAGATAATAAGAGTCAGAATGTTGAGGCTAGAGTTCACAGACAACAAACCTTTGGTAAATCTTTCTGTTTGAAACTTAAACCAATTATAAATTAAATTTTCATAATAGAAGGGGAAGTGACAGCAGCAATTTTCATATTGGAAGGATTATTACTTTTTTATTAAAGCCATGAGATCTGGTAGTTTAAGTAGTTAGATGATAGCTTTAGAAGTATTATAACTTCCTGTGTCACAAGAATCATCACGAAATAGCAATATGTTGAATTTTTTCGAACTTCTAAACTTCTGAGCCTTTGAATGACTTGGAACTAATAAATTAAATGAACTGATACATTTTAGGTTTAACAACTTAGCATTTTTTATTTGTTTTGGAAGCATGCAGTATGTAATCATCCTTCAATAATACTGGCAATTAAAAGTTCTGACCCCAATGCATCCTTAGAATTTCCCACGAGCTCCCACACAAGAGACAATCAATATCTTGTGGTAAGATAGAAAGGCATGGTCAAACAAAAATCAGATGACGTAATGGGGAGTCCACAGCTCAAAGAGAATATCACTAAGTATACCCTCACCTCTGACCCCCTTAGCATTTGTGCAAGCCCCATGGAGCCAAGAGACATACAATTCCAAGATAGTTTAAGAACACATTAAAAAGGAAAGAAATAAAGACACATGAGAGAAGAAATAAATTATATGATGAAAACAAGCAAAAGCATCAACTATTACATACAGCAGCAAGCTTACTTGGCGATTTGTAGCAGTAATATGTTCTGCTGGTATTCGAATTTCAAGAGTGGGTCCCTTGTGGTTGTTTTCACCATGTTTATCAGATTGAGATGCTTCATACTCCATCCATAACTTTATCAGCTCTTGCATGCATTCACTAACTTTATAAATGACAGAGGGTACCTCAGATTTGCCTGGAGCACCAGAAGGTAAATTCAATAGCCATATAAAGGAAATCAAGTAACTTGTGAACTTTGATGTTATCAAGTTATTTTTTGTATCATCCATCAGTAAGCACCAATATGTTTACTAATAGAAGTAATTTATGACACCGAGACCACGAGTTGTTGACACAAGCTGCACATTTGTTGTGACAAAGAAACCTAAAAAGGCCCAGAAACTACCAATTAATAGAAGCTTGAGAATAAATTATACAGCACAAAGAAGAAAAGAAAGGGAAATGGGAAATATGAAAGCTAACACCTCATTCTGGCATATCCAATGCATTAGGAGAGTGGAAAAGGAAAGAAGTAAAAAAAAAAAATCCAATTAAGCAGTGATAGCTAATGATTTCAGCATTCCAATCAGTACTCTGAAGGAGATCCCGTCATCCAACTCCCCTGCAACCCATTAGCCATAGTGCACGAATAAATTTCCAGCTTCGTAAAATGGAAATGACAGCTTACCTTGGCATCTGCAAGATGTAAAGGAACTTGGTTATGATGAATTTAGACTATAGTTTACTATTGAATTATTAAAGTGGAATGATGCTCAATTTAACCAATCTAAGAGAACCAACATACTAAAGAATAGATGACAATGACAAATTTGGTTAAAGGTTTCAACAACAATAAGAGTAATTTTATCTTTAGAAACTATCATTGTAGGATAAATCTCTGGACACACTTAGCTCCAATAATAGCAGTTTCCACATTCATATCAAATATTTTAAAGCAAGTTTCCACATGGCAACTGTCAATAATCCAAAATCAATCATATGGATAACATACTTCCAATTAAAACAGCAATTAAGAAGAATTGAAGAACATACCCCTCACAGTCCTGAGTATGGGACCTAAAACAGGGTTCACAATTTGCCACTTGGGGGCTGCCCCTAGGCCAAAGCATCCTCTTGCGCTGCTGGACTCCATAGTTAAAAACTCCTCTTTCCCTTTCAGTTGCGATTTC